CGAGCCTTGTGCATTTGTGGGACCCCCTCACAAGTGCACGGCGTCTGCCACGTCCCCGGATTTGGGTTCTGGGGCGTGACAGATTTTGTGGTATCAGAGCCTAGGTTAATTTAAGAGCCTAGGATTAGTCTAGAACTTGGTTAGCAAAGGAATGATAGGAACGTGGTGAGGTATGAGAGTGGGGTTGATTAAAGGCGTTTGTTTGATTCTCTCTTTAATGTGTGTTGGTTTTCTTTGTTTCGATAATCTTGTTGCTTAGTCTCGGAAGTGGAAACTTGCCGGGAAATTCTCGTGGGAGCATTTGATTAATAATCTATGAACCTTTTATGTGGTTATAGATGGCTCCAAAACGGCGTGGGCGCCCTCCGAGGGGTAGCCATAAGGATCAGGGCACGCCTCCGATCCCAGAAGCTAGTCCCCCCACCCAAGTTGCTCCGCAGGAGGGAGGGACGAGCAATCCTCAAGTGGCCAGCTTTGTTCAGGAACTTATGGCGGAGATAAGACGCCAAGTATCTCCTGCCACAAGTGTACCACCTCCATCCCCGGTGGTCTCCACTCCTGTGGCCTATGCTCCGGTTTCCCCTGTTCCTATCTCTTCTGCTCCTGCTGTGCCTACCTGGAAGATTTATACAGAATTCCAGAAGTTGATGATGAACAAGGGATTCGATGGTACTGCAGGTTTTGAGCAGGTGGAATCATGGATTACCGAGGTGGAGCGGGGATTCCACCTACTACATGTTTCTGATGACCTTAAGGTCAATGTAGGCACCTACATGCTTACTGGGAAGGCATTAACTTGGTGGGAGAGTTATCGGAAGCTGCACCAGGGAGAGCCTGAATTGAGCACCTGGGATGGTTTTAAGAAGGTGTTCATGCGGGAGTACATACCGGACAGCAAAAGGCGAGAACTGCAAAGAGAATTTGCAGATTTAAAGCAAGGGTCAAGTACTGTTGAGCAGTACAAGGAGGAGTTTGACCGCTATCTACCTTTTGTGGGTAGCCAAGTCGGCGACGAGCAAGCCAAGGCCGACAAATTTCTGTGGGGCTTAAATTCTGACATTTATTTGGCGGTAAACCAATTTAAACCCGCCACTTATCGAGAGGCTGTGGATAGAGCCATAGATCAGGAGAAGGCTATGGCTAGAGTCAAGCCCTCAGGGCAGCCTAGTGGTGGGTCATCCCTTGGGAAGAGGAAATTTGAGGGGAGCCGTCGGTCCCTTTTCTTTGCACCGCCTAAGTCTGAAATCAGCAAGGGTTCTAAATGGTCAGGAGCCACTAAGACAGTGAGTCAGGCATCATCGCCCCAGCGTGCTCGCCCTACTCAGCTTGTTTGCCATGTTTGTGGGAAGGTCAGGCACACCCGAGATCAATGCCACATTGCTACTGGGGCTTGCTTCAAATGTGGCAAGCAGGGACACCGGATTGCAAATTGTCCACTGCTAGACCCCAAGGCCCAGAGTACTCAGCCTACCTCTCTGCAAAGTTCTACTAGTCAGGGGGCGCAGAAACAGAGTACTGGGGTTCGGACAAGAGCCCAACAGGCGAGAGTGCAAATGATGACTCACAAGGAAGCTGCGGCTACCGACATAATCACGGGTACCTTGCCTGTTAACTCTGATTATGCGCATGTTTTATTTGATTCGGGTGCGTCGCACTCTTTTATTGCTCGATCTTATGTTTTGAAACGAGCCTTGCCTGTTGATACCCCTGATTGTGAACTACATGTGGACACCCCTTTAGGAGGGGTGATGACTACTAGGGAGGTGTGTAGAACTGTAGATATTTATATTGATGGTAGACAGTTGAGTGCTAGTCTGTTTGTTTTAGATATCTCCGACTTTGATATCATTTTGGGAATGGATTGGCTGTCAAAACACTTTGCCTCAATAGACTGTCATCGGAAATGGGTAATTTTTAATATTCCTGGCGAGCCAGAATTTAGTTTTCAAGGCAGTGGTTCTTTTGCTTTACTCGTGTTAGTATCTGCCTTGCAGGCTCAGAAATATCTTGTAAATGGTTGCCAGGGCTTCCTAGTCTCTGTTACTGATGCTAGTAGTGTGACATCGAGAGTAGAAGACATACCGGTAGTGCATGAGTTTTCGGATGTATTTTCGGAGGATCTCCCATGTTTACCTCCGGATAAAGAGGTTGAATTTGCTATTGACCTTGTTCCTGGCATCGGACCGGTTTCCAAAGCACCATACCGTATGGCTCCTGCAGAATTGAAGGAGTTAAAAGTCCAACTGGAGGAACTCCTTGAGAAAGGGTTTATACGCCCTAGTGTATCACCTTGGGGAGCTCCAGTGTTGTTTGTCAAGAAGAAGGATGGGAGCATGAGGCTATGCATTGATTACCGGGAATTGAATAAGGTGACTGTGAAGAACCGGTATCCCCTTCCTAGAATTGACGACTTGTTTGACCAGCTCAAGGGTGCTCAGGTATTTTCTAAGATTGATCTTCGATCTGGCTACCACCAGGTGAAGATTAAGCCGGATGATGTGCCAAAGACTGCCTTTCGCACCCGTTATGGTCATTATGAGTTCATAGTCATGCCATTTGGCTTGACAAATGCCTCTGCCAGATTTATGGATTTGATGAATCGGGTGTTTAGCAAGTACCTAGACCAGTTTGTGGTTGTCTTTATTGACGACATTTTGGTCTACTCTTCTAGCCATGCTCTTCATGAAAAGCACTTGAGGACAGTCCTCGAGACGTTGAGAAGGGAGAGGCTGTTTGCTAAATTCAAGAAGTGTGAATTTTGGCTAGACAATGTTGCATTCCTAGGTCACGTGGTGACTAAGGATGGAATCTCTGTTGACCCCCAGAAAATTGAGGCCGTGGTTGATTGGAAGAGGCTAAATAGTGTTGCAGAAATCCGTAGTTTTCTGGGATTGGCTGGTTATTACCGCCGATTTGTGGGGGATTTCTCTAGAATTGCTCTGCCCATGACTCATCTTATCAGAAAGGACACCAAGTTTGAGTGGACCCCAGAGTGTGAGAAGAGCTTTTTAACCTTGAAGGAGAAGTTGGTCACTGCTCCTGTACTTGCACTTCCAATTAATGGGGAAAATTCACTATATATAGTGATGCCTCTAAAAAGGGTTTGGGTTGTGTCTTGATACAAAAAGATAGGGTTATTGCATATGCTTCTCGGCAGTTAAAGCCTTATGAAGAAAATTACCCTACCCATGATCTGGAGTTGGTAGCCGTGGTATTTACACTCAAGATCTGAAGGCATTATCTGTATGGTGAGACTTGTGAAATCTTCACTGATCACAAGAGCCTTAAGTATATTTTCACTCAAAA